CTGCTGCCGGTGCTCCTCACGCTTCTTTCGCTCACCTGCCTGCCGGCGCCATTCCGCGTCCGTCGTGAGACGCCGCTCGATCTCCTCCTCGCGGCGACGCTTCTCCTCCTCCTCGCGGCGGCGCTCCTCCTCCTTGGAGATCTTGACGACGCGCTTCAGGATGCTGTCGTCGGTCTCCTTCTGTGTGATGGCGCGGAGGTGCCGGTCCTCCTCCTCCTTCCGAGCTGTCTCCAACGAGTTAAAGACGACCTCCTCCACCGGAAGAGGTTCTGGTTCCTCCTCTGATGCAGTCTCACGGTCCGGATCGTCCTCGAGGTTCCCCTCGAGGTCCGATTCGGACGACGACGTCGGTGGAGGCGTCGAGGGGCGACGTGAGGACGACGGGTTCAGCTTCGCCCATGTTGTCTTCAAGCGGCGAGGCATTGTGCGTGGTGGCGGGTCAAGGGCCGGGGCGAGGTGTGTGTGGGAAGGGTGGTGCTTCACTTTCTTGACGCGTGGTGGTGTGGCGGCCGACTGTGTGCATGGGGGCTAGGCCGAGGCCTGGCTTATATAGGCGTGTCGGTGGTGGAACTGATCATGGTGCAATAACTCGCACCCCTCGAAAGACGGAGCGCGCCTGCATGCATTGGGAATCGCAGTTGAACCACCATTGCGCCTGCGTTGGGAAGACGGAGCGCGCCTGCATTTAATTGGGAACCGGCGCGAGCAGCCGATGAATGGGTAAACACGGTGTCTCTTCGTGGGGAACTGAAGGGCTCTTCATGGGAACCGCGCTTCATGGACCGGGTAATTAAAACAGCGTCTCTTCATATGGTAACCGCATGACCAGCGTGGCTGGGGAGTTGAAGGGCCTACGCGCAAAGCAGGGACAGACAATCACTCAAAGGAATAAATTCCTTCAATCTTTCCGAAATCAGGTGATAGCTCAATGGTTTGTCCGCTGCTCTGGAACTTGTAGGCTTCGGTTCGATTCAGGGATGCAACACATTTATTTTATCTTTTTGACCTTTAGATCGCTTAATAAATTATAAAATTAAACCAAAAAAATTGGGCTGCCTGGGACTCGAACACGGGTCTCGGGGGCTAAGTTAAGGGGTCTTAACCATTGCGCCAGTAGGAGTTCGAAAGAAAATAGAAACTTATCCTACGTAACACCTAAGTTAAACCTAACTGCTACACAACATCACTGCCGGTTTGGGGAATAACCCGACAGTGATGTACACCATCACTGTCGGTTTGCAAGCAAAACCGGCAGTGATGAGCTATTTCCCGAAATAAATTAATAATTAATAAAATAGAACAAAAAAATTTGGGCCACCTAGGACTCGAACACGGGTCTCGGGGGCTAAGTTGAGGGGTCTTAACCGTCGCGCCAGTAGGAGGAGCTCGAAAGAAAACGAAAACTTATCCTACTTAACACCTAACTGCTACAGCACATCACTGCCGGTTTGGGGAGTGACCTGGCAGTGATGTGCCCCATCACTGTTGGTTTACAAGCAGAACCGGCAGTGATGAGCTACTGCTATAAAAGTGGCGCGGGTTGAAATTATCCCAATTCATTTCAACCCCACGCCAACCCCTCCCCCCATGCCGCCGGAGCACCACCCTGCGCCGGAGCACTGCCCCACGCCGTCCACCACCCCACGCCGGAGCACCTCCCCACGCCGGAGCACCACCCCACGTCCGAGCACCACCCCAAGCTAGAGCACCGCGCCGTCCAGAGCATCGCGCCGTCCGTCCCACCGCCGAGGCCTTCAGGAGCGCGTAGACAGCTGCTTTCCCACCCCACGATGACTGCGTGGCTCACTGCCCGCTACATGTCTGATGAAATGTCCCACAACTGCTTACTTGAATCAGTTTGATCATGCAGTGTGTGCTGTCATACAGTTTGATCATGCAACTGTGAATGCTAGAACCTAGGTTTGCCACACAGTGTGTGCTATCTGTTTCTTTGTGTTTCTGGATGCATTGCTAGTAAGTAGTGCAATGTTACATAGTAGCACGTTGCTCAGCTCTATTCATCAGTATACTAATAAGAACAAAAGCGTAATTTTATTTTTGGTTACCAGGATAAACATAGCAGGGACTCGTAATACTTGATAGAAATTGCTCTCTGAACGTTAATGGTAGTTTGTTTTCGGAGTACTTGCATTTTCTCTGTGAAACAAACTTATGTTTTCTCTATGAAACCATCTTGTGCATCATTGGAGCTTGGCCGGATACATATGTGAAACCAATGGCTGGCCTCACCTCGTAGCTTGCAATTGCAACTACGCTCCCATCAGGCGGGTACTCAATGTTTTTGGAACTGTGCCACCGATGCTCAATGTTTTTGGATGTGAGGATGGAGTATATATACTTCAGACCTATAGAACTAATATATGTCCAAACTTGTCATGGAATTGTCCATGCTATCAGCATAAAGATGTATAATTATTAACTTATGCAAGATTACAAGTAATACATAGTTATGTAGCCTTGTGCATTAAACTAGGAATATTTTCCAACAATCCTATCTTATTATGAGTTTTTGCATGTCACTTTCCTGGGATAGTATGAGATGCATATTTGCCCCTACCAACCATGTAAGTTTCAGATCAAAGTATCACTAATTTGGAAAGATGCTTACTTGCACTGATACTTATGAAAGAACCTCGTGCCGATGGTTGGGAGATTTATAGTGCGACTGAATACTCTTAGACATCTCTAGGAGTATATCCAAAAGTCTTAAACTGGCTCTCAAAATCATCATTTGGTTTTTAACGAATAAAAAATATTCTTTATATCTTTCCAACATCTAACAACTATTACTAAGGCACGTGAATAGCTATTTTCCAAACACTCCTATCTATGCAATGGTCGTGTGTTATTCATAAATATATTAAATTGTATAAGAATACATCATGTTTGAATGATAACCTAATTTACTTAAATGTATAGGCAACCATGGCATGGTATGTAGTGCATGTTGGTCACATGCTTGGGATTTATCGAACCTGGGAAGATTGCTATGATCAAGTCAATCGCTACCCTGGTAATTTGCACAAAAAATACAACACAGAAGCTAAAGCTTTGAGGGCCTACTATAGTCATCCGGCCTACCTTGCAAACCATGGGCAACCGACCTACTATGGTCCAATGAATGCAAACCATGGCCATCCGCTGGCACTGAAGATCGAAGAGAAGCCACCCGCCGAAGATGTGAAGATTAGGAAAATTGCTCCTTGGTCTTGGAAAGATGTCATGCTTTTATTTATGGCTATGGTCATCGCTTTTCTTATTTGGAAGTTGATGTAGGCTTAGTTTTGTAGAAGAGTAGGTGGACTTTGTTGTATCTGGTCAATCAAACAATGAATTTGTTCTAGGTGAACATATGCTATTATTTGACTTTGTTGTATATGGACTTATTATTAGACTTTGCATTAAACATATTATATATATATATATGAACATATGTTATTAGTAGTTGTCCGCGGCCAAAACTAACCACGATCGTGTCACAGCCATGACTCATCGTCACTTTGTTACCCCATCATCGCCAAGAATTGATCGGCAACAAGAAGCGGTGATATCATTTGGGACGAGAGAGCGCATGATCCGACAAACGGTGACGGTGTCAATCAGGTCAGTGAGAACAAGCAGCCATGGACCCCGTCCGGCCTGCTCGATCTGGGTCAAAATGACCAAGATGGCCAGGTAACTTTGGTATCATGTCACTATGTAGCCACACACGCTAATCAATTGAGAGGGTCATAGCTTACTTAGTGTCTCTAGCAGGAGCCTCCGTCGGACGAGGAGCCAGAGGGTTCGGGTAGTAGGAAGGCCAGATCCAAGCAAGGCTTGTCAAAGATTCCTGTTGGTAGGAATGCACACTGGCACATTATTGAGTTCGATGAATTCGGGGATCCACTCTCACCACCTATAGCTTTGACCAAATACAAGACTATCCTCGGGTTACTTGTTAGGGACTTCATCCCGATTAAGTACAGGAAGTGGATTGGGAAAGATGATGACCGGTGGAGGGTTCCCGAAAGCAAGAAGGATTACATATGGGATGTCAAGATCCCAGAGTATTTCACTTTCCCAGCCGAGTATGACAGGGAGTTAGTCAAGAAAAAAGTAAAAGAAATCATGGGGATATGCTTCAAGAATTTCAAGGGAACATTGTACAAGAATTTTGTCCTCCAAAATAAAGAGCTAGATTTCAATGGTGGACAGTTTAGCAAGCAGAAGGACTTCTAGCAGAATTTCAAGGAATACAGGTTATCCGAGGAGTACTTAGAACTGAGCAGGAAGAATAAGGAGAATTTGCAGAAAGCGATGAATCCTCATCATCTCGGCTCTCGTGGCTATGCCAAAAAGATGTCAGAATTTGAAACAGAACTTCAAAAGATGGATCGTCTTGCTGAGTAAGGCGTTCAGGTTGAGACCGCCGATTAGGAGCCCAGATCGGTATTATACTGTATGGGGAGAAATGTACGGCACGCTGAGGACGGGAGCTTTAGCTCCTCAAATCAACCCATGAGCGAACTCATCCAGAGGATCTCCTAGGTAACTGAGGAGGTGAGGCAAGGGACTCGCACTAATAGGGAGAAAGACGTACTCACCCAAGCACTCGGAACCAAGGAGCACCCTGGTTGCACTAGAGAAACCGGTATTGTTCCTTGGACACTAGCATTCCCCCAAGAATCTAACACTTACCGGAGCCGCTCGAGGACGATCTTGCTCATTGGGAATAGTGGGGGAAGATCTGCACATCCTCGTAAATAGCCAATTCCAGTTCCAGTTTGCTGATCTTCTGCTTTAGAATCAGCAGGACCATTCAGACTCGAAATCATGACCTCCCTAGAAGCATTGGAAGATTGACTGCGTAACACTCTATGTGTGAGTGTCATCCCTAAAAATATGATGCAGCAACCATGAGTAAGTGTACTGGAAAACAATTGAAATAATGCAAGTATGAAAATGGTTGGAACAAAATAAATGTATTACTTCTCCCATCAAAAGTCATCAGGATCTTGGAATTCCACTTGTGTGGCATCAAGAAAATATTCTGTATTATACCCCTCATGTTCTTCAACTGGTGGCTCAGTGTCTACTGTCACACCATTTCGTTGTTTGATCAGCATGGAAAATTCATTTGGATCATTGATCTCATCAAAGCCATCACTAATCGTGATATCATCTAAGCCAAGTCCAATGTCTATGACGAATTCACCGTCTAAACCATCTTCTTGAAAGTTATCCACACATGGTGATTCTTCATTATCATACTCATCCATTGTAGGAATAGACAAGTTTGAAAGGGGGCTGACCTTGTATGCAACCCACCAGTCCTTAAGGCTTGCACTAGACTTACATGGATAAGGAAGATAATACACTTGCTTCACTTGGCTAGCAAGAACAAAAGGTTCGTTCGCTGGATTACAAGAAGCATGGGCAACTTCGACTAGTCCAACCCTTTGTAATTGTCTCACTCCATTAATTGGGTGGAACCAATGACAATCAAACAAAACTAGGCTGAATTCACTACCACCATCAAACTTCAACCCAATTATGTCTTTGATAATGCCGTAGTACTGAAGCTCATTGTTGCTATCATCAAAACTAACAGCAAGCACCCCGGTGTTGGTGGTAGTCAGGTTCCCTCTAGATTGTCCATACTTTTCAGATCTAAATCTGTACCCATTAACCTCATAAATATCATATGACCTAACCTTGAGGCCACAACCACATGATAAATGACATAGCTCACTAGGTATGCTTGCATCCATGTCACACTGAAATGTTACAATTGAAACTAACATGTAATTAATAATTTAATAGAATGTTGAAACCTATACAGAAATTAAGAAAATAGCTAGTACCAGGCTTCTAAACCAATCCAACAAGTCTGGTTTCCCATTGCCAGCACCATTCATCCTTAAATTATCTAGTTGTTTCTGATTTGGTGGTCTTGCACGTCTCCATTGCTCTTGTTCAAATTTTCTATGGATTATGCCAGGAGATTAATTATGATCAATAAGAATTAGTATTTTGTTTGTCAAAGTTGGTGTACTTACTGTACAAATTCCTCCATTTCAGTCATGTTTGTGAAGATATAAATCATTGCTATCTTGTACTCTTCAAAAGTTAGAAACCTTGTCACTCCTCTACCGCTCTTCCATCCACGCACTTGAAACAAGCTAAGGGTACGATCTGATGGAGGACCACTTTGAGCATAACATTGTGGACGATTTCGGGAGCTCGGTATGAGTTGAGGTAAGTACAATGATGTAAAGTAAGAGATCTCCTCAACTAGGCAGCCTTCCACTATTGAGGCTTCAACATGAGCCATGTTACGGACTTTTGCCCTAACTTCTTTTAGTAACCTACAAAAGATTAAATTAGTTGTTTTGCTATGACAAGGCAGAAAGATAAATAATAGGTGTTCTAAGTTTATACCTCTCAACTCCATACATCCATGTATACTTTACTGGGCCTCCTACCCTAACTTGATATGGAAGGTGCACCAGAAGATGCTCCATTGAATTGAAGAAACCTGGTGGAAAGATTTTTTCCAATTTGCAAAGAATAACAGGTATGCTTGCTTCCAGTTGACATATCTGGGCACGGTCAACCTCCTTTGCACAAAGGACTCTAAAAAAGTAACTTAGCTTAGCTAATGTTTCCCATATGTCATCCTTGACAAAACCTCGCATCATCACAGGTAGTAGACGCTCAATAAATATATGGAAGTCATGACTCTTCATGCCGTTTATCCGTAGTGTATCCATGTTTACCCCTCTCCTTAAGTTTGTTGCATAGCCATCAGGGAATTTGATGTCCATAAACCACTGCATTACATCCTTTTTTGGTCTCTTTTCAGGGAAAATGGTGCTCTAGGTCTATCCCATTTATCATTTGGCTTCTCAACTAGATTAAGATGTCTTCTGTTGCACATCAAGGCTTGGTCAAGACGAGCCTTATTATTATCCTTGGTTTTATCACCAATGTCAAGACATGTGTAGAAAATAGCTTCTACTACATTTTTTCCGTATGCATAACATCAATGTTATGTGGACGCAGAAGTTCAGGGAAATATGGCAACTCCCATAGGAATGGGATGTGAGTCCAATTGTGAGTAGTGCCATAACCATCAAAAGATTTATCTTTCACTTCATTCATGTATTCTTGCACCTCTACCCTAGTTAATCGATGTGGAGGTATGTCATGAACCGCTACACCCTTTCTAAATGCATTCTTCTGGTCCCTAAATTCATGGTTAGCTGGTAGAAATCTTCTATGGCAATCAAACCACCTATACTTGCGCCCATTTGGTAGCCAAGTGCTATCTACATCTGCCATGCAATCGATACATGCCAACCCACCATGTGTAGACCATCCAGAGAACATGCCCAACCTAGGATAGTCATGAATGGAATTATGATATGAAACCTTAATTGTAAATTTTCTCTTCGAAAAACTATCATAGGTTTCTACTCCTGCCCAAGCTTTCTTCATCTCATCTACTAGTGGTCGCATGAACACATTCAAATTTTTACCGGGATGCTCTGGTCCAGGAATCACTAGACTAAGAAATATGTTTTCCTCCTTCATGCAAAGAGCTGGTGGCAAGTTCAAAGGAATCACGAAAACTAGCCAACAAGAATATTTAGATTTTCCAAATCCAAATGGATTGAAGCCATCTGTTGCCATAGCAATACAAACATTCCTAGCCTCCACTGCAAACTCTGGGCAGACTGTATTGAAATGTGTCCAAGCCTCAGCATTAGATGGGTGGACCATAACATTTGGGTTGTCACGCCTACCCTCCTTGTGCCACCGCATGTGCTTTGCGGTTTTGGGCTCCATGTAGAGCCGCTGCAACCTTGGTATGAATGGAAGATAACATAGAACCTTACGTGGTATTGGCTTTCGCTTACGCCCTGTTGATGGCTCAACAACTACATATCGGCTTTCCCCACAGAAATCACATTTTTCCTTATTTATATCTTCTCCGTAGTATATCATACAATTGTTTTCACAAGCATCTATCTTAACATATGGCATTTTCAGACCTTTGAGAAGAGTTGTGCACTCATAAAATGTTTTTGGCATTTTATGGTTCTCAGGCAGGACATCATCAAATAGATTCAATATTTTATTAATGCATTCTACACCAAGGTTATGTTGTGATTTAACTGCCATTAACCGAGCAACTGCGGTTAGCTGTGCAACACTAGTGTAGTTATGTACGGGCTCTTGTGAAGCTTCCAACATGGCATAAAATGACTTTGCATCAGCTGGGGGTTCATCTTCAGCACTAACAGTATGCATTGCATCGCCAATATCAGCTAACATTTCATCTAAACCATCAGCAGTATCATTGGCATTCTCCAATGTGGGCTCACTAAAAGGTTTCTCTCCATGTTCAGTCCAAATAGTATACCTAGGTGTAAAACCTCTTTTACACAAATGCAAGCTCATGATAGGCCTCCTTCGTCTAACTCTATTGTCGCAATCTGAACATGGGCAAAGTACTCCAAAATTTTGAGAATCAAGAACAAGACTGAAAGCATGGTCTAGAAAAGCATGTCTTCTGCACCCACTCCTGTGAATGACAACCATTGTCATTCCACTCTTCGTACATCTAACTACGGTCTTCTATTGACATGGCTAGTTATTGTAGCAATAATAAACCCCTGTTCAATATCTAAAACCCTGAGCAAACCCATAGATAACAATTTGTGCTACTAAAAAATTAATAATTTAGTACAAATGTATGGAAGAGATGTGAAAAGATAAATCTGCTCCTCACCTTCAAGCTTCTCTTGCACAACAGCACAGATGTAGATCCCTGCCTTCTTTATCGCATTTGAGTCTTCCTTACAAAGCCAAGATCTTCTCCTCCTACTTCAAACTGAAGTTTGCATAATGGAAAGGCAAAGTATATTAGTTCCAGATCTGAATGACTAATATTCAGAGCGGATAATGGTCTAAATAGCATGTAGAGCCTATGAGCAAACAACTAGTAGTGCAGTAATATTTTGTATCACAAACAAGAAATCAAGCGCACACTTATTGAATATGAATAAATGTGAAATGGTATATTTCTCTAGTCCATCAAGCGGAATTATTAGTTTGCACCATAACTTACATATTTCCTAGTTAAAATTCAGTAGCTTATAACTCACTAGCCAGTCTACCTGAATTTCTATTTTTTTTGGAAATGACCAAAGATTAGTTCAGGACCAAACAAATTTAGCAATTACAATAGTCTCTGCACCACTCAAGTCAATTAAATAGTTCCTGATTGTTTCCAGGAAGTATAAGAAATGCAAAACACAACATAAAGGCTGCAGGTGCATCACACATGAGCAATATATACATCTTAATTGTTGGTTAAATCCATGTAGTAGATTCGTATCTCACTTTGAGCCATTATTTAGTAGCACGAAAGAAATAGGAAGCACATCTCCTTGTCAGTAACACAGCAGCACGCAACAGGGTTATTGCCAATTCCTACCTTCTTGCCAACACAACGACAGGCCACTGGCACCTCCACAGGACAACGGCAGGCCACCAGCAAATCTGCAGGGCAACGGCAGGCCACCAGCACCTCTGCAGGTTCTCTTGCCTCCACTGTAGGTCCTTCTTTCATCCAAATCAGCACCTCCCTCGCCTCCTGCAGCACCCTAGAAGGTTCTCCTCGCCTCCTCCGCAGGTCCTTCTTGCCACCTCGGCAGCCCGCTTGGGTCACGAAATTGGGATGGGGGCAAAGGAATAGCTAGGGCTGGGTGGTGCTAGGCTTGGGGTGCTTGTAGATCCAGCGAGGGCAGTGGATTTGGGAGGCACCCCATTGGATGGGTTGGGGCAGCGGTAGGAAGCTTTGGTGGCGGCGCACTAGATTGGGGCGGCGGGAGAGCTTTGGGGCAGCAATGGGAGAAGATTTGGTGCGCGAGAGAGAAGATTGGTGGCGGTGGCGGCGGCGGCGGCGGGAGAAGGGCAGCGTCTGGAGAAAGATTGGCGCGAGACGGTGGCGGTATGCTGCGGGGAGGGGAAAAATTTTGGTGCCGTCATGTTAGCGCCATGTTGGGTCAATGTCCCTAGAAATTGTGTCCATGTCGTAGGGAAAGGTGCCAGCATGGCAAGGGAGACGCCTCTTCCTCAGAATCAGCCCCGACCAAAACGTGCAATCCTAGGGAAAGCCAAGTTTCCCTACGGTTTTGTCACCCAACTCTAGGGAAACATATCTTTCCCTAGGACGATCAAAACATCATAGGGAACTTTAAAAACTGTAGGGAAACTCATCGATTCTAGTAGTGAAACGTCTTATAATTTTGAACGGGTGGAGTACAAAGCAGCTCGACATGTAAAGACTTTTTTTTTTATAAAAACATGTAAAGACTTTAGTTGCTGGGGAAGTCACACCTTGCTCTCCCCATATTAAAAGGGAGTGCACTTTTATATTTGGTCTAAGTCAAAAATTATTTTGAGTTTAACAACGACCAAGTTGGGCACAGGTTGTACTTGTACAAACGCCTCAGCAAGCTCTTGCGGCAAGCAATCTCGATGCCTAGTAATTAGCAATGTCAATGACGACGGGCGTAGTAATGTCAGTGAAGCCATATTGTCATTTCTTCTCTTTTTACGTGTTCTGCAGATCACATGTGAATATAGCATGAGAGCATTTTAGTTTTTTTTTCATTACAACACACGTGCACTTATGCTAGTATAAAAAAAATCCAAAGACGAAACCGAAATTATGCGGTAAGACCAAAACCGAACACCCACACGGTACCTCCGATCTCACAAAAAAAAACGCACCTGACTCACGAGCCTTGGTACGGTGGCAGTATGCCCGGCCTGCAAAAGCGAACATCCTGATCACTCCAACCACACCCAATGTACTGCGGGAACATATCTAGTGCAAACCAACCTCTCCATGCAAACCGTGCAAACCAACTGCGGTAGAGAGGTGGGAGGGGGGATTTGCAAAAGTGTAATTACGCCCGCTCCTAATTACACTTTTGCAAATCCCCCCTCCCACCTCTCCCCCGCAGTTGGTTTGCACGGTTTGTACGGATAGGTTAGTTTGCACTTGATACATTGCCATGTACTGCAGCCGATCTCCAAAGGTTCCCACCCCAAAGGGAGGGGACATGTGGCTTTGTTTATCCTCCCTTCCTACAAGAAAAAAAATACAATCATATCACAATATCAAGTTAAAATATCTTGAGTTTGCAATACTTATAATATTAAATAAGTATTATTAAATTTGTAATGAAATATATTTTTATAATTTATATTTTTTGGCATTGTAAATACTCCATCCGTTCCAAATTATAAGTCGCTTTGACTTTTTGGTGCATCTATTTTGCTTCGCTTTGACTTTTTTTGTTCATTCATTTTGCTATATATCTAAATGCATTGCAAAATAGATGCACCAAAAAGTCAAAGCGACTTATAATTTGAAATTGAGGGAGTATTTATATTTTTACCTATATATTTGCTTAAACTTTGGACACTTTAACTAAAAGTACATCTAGAATTATAATTTTTTTGGGGGACAGACGTAGTAACTGCCTAGAGTGATCTTGTGACACCAGATATATAGGCGGCCGTTTTTCTCGGATTAAACATATTGGGACTGCTGCCTGCTAGGTGATGCTTTATCTAGAGCCTGTTTGATCATTGGACTAGTAGTTGTTAGTCTAATTAAAGTTTAGATGTGCATTGTTTAGATAAATGGACAACAAATTAAAGAAGAAGTAATAACTATGCTGGAGTTTAGCCTTGCATTTTGGCCTTTTGGCAACGGCAGGATGACTGCAACCTGCAATTCTGCAAAGCTGAAACAACCCTGGTCACAAGTCTGGAACCGCAGCAGAGAGAGACGCGACCCGGGCGGGCAAGGGCAAGGCAGGTCACTGCATGCAGATGCAGGCGTCGGATGGACGCCGCAGGGCAGGCGGGCCGGCGGATTGGCGGTCGAACACCCAGACCCATTACGGTGGTGAGCCGAGAGGGTAAGGTGCTGGCGATGTGGGGGCCGATCGAGCCAAGCCCCAAATCCAAAAAGCATTTGTGCTTTTCCATCCTTTCCCACCTTGTGCATTTTCTGTTTCGATTCCATCTGATATCTTTACTTTTGCAGGAACCAGCTTGTACTTTTGCAGGGGGCAGCAGCAGCAGCTGTTGTAGGACGATCGGCGATGGCACGGAATGCAACCGCACTGTATTTTGAATCTGTTTTTTTTACTCCCACATACACACACACACGGTCGTACATTATCGCAACCGAAGGGTACTGTATGTATTTGCATCGCATCTTTCATCCCAGGGCATCTTTTTGACCGAGTGCAGTAAAGCATTCTGCATCGTGCCAAATTTTTTACTCCGGAGTAATTAAAATTTTACAAAAGAACCAGAGAATATCACCGGGAGTTGTTGGTAGTGGTACTGCAAGCCATGCATGCACCAAAACGATCGGCCAGGACGTACCCGCTCGCAGTCGCAGCCCACTGCTCCCACTCCCACCCCAACTCCTCCCCTGCGGAGTGGGGGCCACCACATCGCAGCACGCGTATCACTGCGTTTCGAACTGGAACATGCTGCAGCCACTTGCAGCTGTTGCTACAGTGTTTTTGTGAGAGGGCCTGCAGCCGCTGCAGCAGCAACAGCTGCTTGCTTTTTAGCACAGCCGAACAGAAAGAATCTCGATGCTAGGGCGGAACTGAGAGGTGAAGAAGTAGCGAGGGGGAAGAAGAGTGGAAGACTCCGCCTCGATTCGATTCGATTCGATTATTATATAAAGACCACGCCCATACGCTATTGGTACCACGCACATCCATTCCCGTCCACCTCCCTCCCACCCTCTATCTCCACTCGACCTCCCCTCCGATCCGAACGCGGCCATGTCGACGTCCCTCTTCTGCCGCGCCGCTCTCACCGCCGCTCCAAGCGCTCGTGGCGGTGTCCGTCGTCTCCCGGGGCGCAGGGCACCGGGTGCTGGCATCCGTGGAGTCGGCTTCACCTTGTCGATGATGGTCAGTTCTGCTCGTTTGTTCTTGCGTTCTTCGCTGTAGATTTTGTGCCGCATGCATGCGTGTTCTTGTTGCATGCATCTCATCGCTGGACCGCTGGAGGGAGGCCGATGTTGATCGTCTGGTCCGATGATCTCTGTGGATTTTATTGTCTTTTGTCAACCTTTTTGATTTACTCTCTCTGCAGTACGTCTCACCGAACGAGTTGCATGTTTTCTTTCCTCTTTCTCTACCACTCAAGGCACCACCACCCAAGCCCAAGGTCACCATGCTGGCGTGCGCCAAGAGGCCCAGGAAGGCTACCGACCCTTGGGATAGCGACTACAAAGGAGATCAGGATGTATGTTGATACTAGCTAGCTAGCTCTGTTGCTATATATTTGGTTGGGTTCGTTTGATTTGATTTGATTTGATCTGATCCCCTTTCTAATTATAATGCTGATTCATTCCCTGCTTTGATGTGCTGCAGAAGATTGACAAGTTTTATGCTGAGCTCTCTAAGGAAATCGAGTATTTTCGCAGCTACGGAGATGAGGATGATGTATGTTGATACTAGCTACCTAGTTCTATTGCATGCTATATATGTATTTGGTTGGGTTCGTTTGATTTGATTTGACCCCCCCTTGTAATTATGATGCTGATTCATTCCCTGATCTGATGCACTGCTGCAGGAGTTTGACAAGTATTATGCTGCTCTCTGTAAGCAATCTGAGGAGGCTATGACTGGTAAATTCATTGATGTTATTCCTCTTATGCCGGTTCTTTCCGAGGAGGAGAGGGCAGTGCAGAACAAGGTCAAGGATATCGCCGAGAGGTGCATGGACCTCCAGGCTGATGCCATGCGCCGCCTCCGCCCGGAACAAAGGCACCCACTCTACCTGGTGTGTGTGTGAAAACCTTTTGCTGGTTCCTTCCTTCCGATTTTGCGTACTCGATCATCGCTGAAAATCTTTTACTTGGTTCGTTCGATCTGATTCTGATTTTACCACGCACCCACTTAATTATTCTTGTTCGATCTGCTGTCTGTGACGGGGTACGTTGTACGTGTGTGTAGCTGTTCCGGACTGTGCATCTCGCATTTACGTCCGTGAAAGTCAGAGCCATGGAGGGGCATGCCAACTGCGGGGTATCATCGCTTCTCATCGTCGACAAGTTGGATGTGGTGCGCAAGATGGTCTCCAGCGCCTGCAGCGCCCCTCTCCCTCTCGACAGGGACAAGCAGGAGCTCTCCCTGCTTCCTCCCCTTGTCCAGGAGGCGATCGGCGGCCTTGTTGGCGCCGACGACAGCAAAGTACGTTGAGATCCTATTATTACCATTAGTGCCTATCTTTTGTCGTTCATTCATGCATCATATAGTACCGATCGATGCATAATAATGCAATGAAATTGGGGCTGATGAACGTCTTCTCGTGTGATGATTCGTGATGAATCCAGGACCAGGAGGTGACGTTCGCATTGATCGAGTACACCTACAACACTGTCAAGTCTGACATTGACAAGATGATCACCGCCAGTGCCACAAGTACCTCTTAGATCGACTTCATGTCTACAGGGATCGTCGGGATCGACATCAACCACTTCGTCCAGCCTTATTACCAGTCACCAGTACTCTATCTTGCATGCGATCGTGTTTCTAGGTGCTCTACTTTGGGTATCTGTTTTCGTAGCTATCAAGTCGTCGAATGGTAGTACCCCTAGTAGTACTTGTTACTCATGTTGGAGTTTGTACATGCTATGCTATGCTGTGTTACGGGTTATCGAATAATGGACCAGTTTGTTTATCTTAGATCTATTACTACGACTACTAGTAGTAACGTTGGCCCTTAATTAGTTTCAAGCTGCTGTATGGCTACCTCATTTATCTAGATCTATAATTACTGTATGCTGTGTATCGATGGATAAGTCACATTATGTCGTCGCTTCTGAGATTTGTGCAATTAATCATATCATACCTTTGTTCTCTGCAATGTTTGTCGTCGATGATCTGTAGTTCTTTTATGCTGATCTTGTGCACCTCATCAGAGTTCGATTTTACTTGTCGTGCGCGGTTATTGGGTGCTTGCATTTGGTTCTTTGCGGCCCCTGCCCTTGTCCAACAACCCCAGGCGTTGTCCAAATTTATAGACCAAAGATAGTATACATGTCTAATAATTTTTTGAGGGCTAGCTGCATGTCTAATAAATTTATATAGGAAATAGGATACATGCATGAGAGGAGGTTTTGCCAAGTCCCAACGATCCAAATCCCAATACCAGAAGTCCAAATCCATCCAAAAGGTCCAACAATCGCACACTTGATCTTGTATGAAGAGGTGCGAGGAGGAGGGCCCAAGTATCTCATCCATATGCCACAAGGAGAACCATCCACTAGCCACTCTTAAACCCTATTTGGATCTCTTTGCCATGGCAAACTTTTACTGCTAAACTTTAGTCCTTCCTTTGGTGTTTGGATCCATGGAAAAAATGGGCTAAAAGTGCAAAATAAGGTGTCATTCGCACCCCAATGCTTTTAGCTCAGTTTTGTACCTCTTAAGGTACAAATAGACTAAACTTTAGCCTCTCCTTTTCTTACTTTTAGCCTACCTATTTGGATCCATTTGCCCAAAAAATAGGCTAAAAGTGCAGGGCAAAAGTTTTGCCATGGAAAACAAATAGGGCATGTAGTCTCATGTTGGCTATTCTCACGCTAAAGACCAATAAAATATAGGACTAGCTCAGCTAGCTAGAAACCATCCCCAGCGGCTTAGATGATCGGCCAGTGTAGTTTAATGTAATGTACCTTGGTAGATGTACTCTAGGACACCCTAGGAGGACCTTTAGGAGATCCGGTGGCCATGCAATGCCCTAACCACACTTAGCATCCTTGTAGTTCCATGCATGTCTGCTTTTTAAACATCATTCATGCATGCCTTTTAAACATCATATTGCGCAAATTAAAAACCACCCCTCCTATAATTGGTAGCTGAAATCATGACATGCATGCATGCATGCCTTTTGAAACTATATATGGGTTACTAGAAATTATAAGTGTTAAATGATGCGGTTCAGGCTTCGTGTTATCTATTGTATTGGTTGTTACGGTGATGAAGGTTGTTAGCATATTTGAAGGTTGTTAGCATATCTAGTGACTTGTATAGAAAGTAGATCAAGGATGTAATCTGTTGTTCATTTCTTTACTTGTAAGTCAAGATTGTAACACCACGCTAGGGGCTGTTCCCAGCCTATCACTACGGAAACCGGCGATTTGCCGAGTGCCGGAGTCTTTGCCGAGTGTATTTTATCGGGCACTCGGCAAAGACCGTGTTTGCCGAGTGCCAAATAAAATACACTCGACAAACAAAAACACACGGCAAAATACGTCTTTGCCGAGTGTTTTTTTTCTGGCACTCGGCAAAGATGTATTTTGCCGAGTGCTATTTTTTGGCACACGGTAAAATACGTCTTTGCCGAGTGTTTTTTTCTAGCACTCGGCAAAGATGTATTTTGCCGAGTGCCCTTGTTTTGGCACTCGGCAAACAGGCTTTTTGCCGTGTTCAATTTTTTTTTTGCCCTCGGCAAATCAGTTTTTCGAAGCAATTTTTGAGGCCCTAAATGAATTCAAATGAAAAACTTTTCAACTACAAAGTTGTATAACTTCTCAAGATCTACAAAGTTTATTTTGGTCATTTCTTCATTTGACAAAGCGACAATAACGTTGTTCATAAAATCTACATCTCTCATATTAGTTTCATGAAAGTAGAAGACATATATATAAGATTTGTGAACAATGTTACTACCACTATGTCGGATGAACAAATAACCAAAATAAACTTTGTAGATCTTGATAAGTTATGAAATTTTGTAGTTGGCAACATTTTGATTTGAAATCATCTTGTCATGCAAAAACGACGTTTAAATTTGAAAATTTTAAAATTTGAATTTTTCAAACGGCGTCGGATGGAAAAACTTCCTAAATGAAAATTGTAGATCTCCAAAAGTTATGAAACTATGTAGTTGACAACTTTTTGATTTGAAATCATCTTATCATGCAAAACTACGTTTGAATCTCTCAAATTTAAAATTCAAAATTTTCAAACGACCTCGGATGGAAAAACTTACTAAATGAAAATTGTAGATCTCAAAAAGTTATGAAACTTTGTAGTTGACCACTTTTAGATTTGAATTCATTTAGTGCCTCAAACAAGCAATTTACTCTAAGTTTGCCGAGTGCCTTTTTTTTGGCACTCGGCAAAGCCGTATTTTGCCGAGTGCCTATGTTTTGGCACTCGGCAAAGAGGCATTTTGCCGTGTGCATTTTTTTGGTCCTCGGCAAATCAGTTTTTCGAATCAATTTTTGAGGCCCTAAATAAATTCAAATGAAAAACTTTTTTCAACTACAAAGTTGTATAACTTCTTAAGATCTACAAAGTTTATTTCGGTCATTTCTTCATTTGACAAAGCGACAATAACGTTGTTCATAAAATATATATGTCTCATATTAGTTTCATGAAAATAGAAGAGAGATATATATGATTTGTGAACAATATTACTATCACTATGTCGGATGAACAAATGACCAAAATAAACTTTGTAGATCTTGAGAAGTTATGAAATTTTGTAGTTGGCAACATTTTGATTGAAATCATTTTGTCATGCAAAAACGACGTTTGAATTTGAAAATTTTAAAATTTGAATTTTTCAAAAGACCTCGGATGGAAAAACTTCCTAAATAAAAATTGTAGATCTCGAAAAGTTATGAAACATTGTAGTTGGCAACTTTTTGATTTGAAAACATCTTGTCATGCAAAACTGCGTTTGAATTTCCAAATTTTAAAATTCAAATTTTGTAAACGACCTCGAATGGAAAAACTTCCTAAACTAAAAGTGTAGATCTCGAAAAGTTATGAAACTTTGTAGTTCACAACTTTTTTATTTGAATTCGTTTAGGGCCTCAAACAAACAATTTACACTCGGTTTAGTATAATATATTAAGATCTAAAACGGAATCCAGACACAAGTGACAGTGTGGTGTAGTGGTAGAGGAGGTTTGTGCGGAGCGGGAGGTCTCGTGTTCGAATCCCGTCGGCCGCGTAGCCGTGAAATTTACGCGAAAAAAGCCGGAGATGGATGGGCGCTGACCGGTGGGGGCCTCCACCAATTAAAACAAATTTTTCATTTTTTTGGGTAAAAATTCCCATTTTTTCGGGTTTTTTCGGTTCCAACTTTGCCGAGTGTCGGGCACTCGGCAAAGGCTTTGCCGAATGTCGATTTTTGGCACTCGGCAAAGAAATCTTTGCCGACAAAGTCTTTGCCGAGAGACCTTTGCCGAGTGCGGCACTCGGCAAAGCCTTTGCCGAGTACGGCACTCGGCAAAGCCTTTGCCGAGTGCTTGGCTGGCTTTGCCGAGTGCCCCCAGCACTCGGCAAAGAGGGCGTCTGCAGTTGTGTATATAACACGAAGCCGTGAGCCTGAGAAGGCATCACGTTACCCTAATCTTCACATGGTAATCAGAGCTACTCGATTCTGTGCCCGTCTGCGCGATGGCGTCTTCCTCCGCGCAGCCTGTTGCTCACTCAATCGGCTATCCGCCGACAGAGAAGCTCGGGTGCAACATCTTCGAGATGTGAAAGGCGTAGGTCCTCTCGGCGATCCGTGGTGTGCAGATGGCGTACACGATCAGCCCCACCTTCGTGCCGCCAACCAAGGAGATCACCAAGTCGCCGACAAACTGACGGAGAAGATCCCCAACCCGGAGTACGACACCTGGTTTGCCAAGGACTAGCAGGTGCTTAGCTACATCCTTTCATCGCTGTCACGAGAGATTATGTCCTAGGTGGCCACAACTACTCCAACGGCGGCTGCAGCCTGGGCTACGATCGAGGGCATGTTCGCTGCCCAGCCGCGTGCACGCGTGATTAACACACGCATGGCGCTTGCTACGGCCCAAAAAGGACCTCAACGGTGGCCGAGTACTTTGCTCGGACAAAGGCCCTCGCGGATGAGATGGCATCCACGGGGAAGAAGCTCGACGACGAGGAGATTTCCTCGTACATACTGGCGGGTCTCGACATCGACTTTAACCCACTGGTGCCTGCCATTGCTGCAAGGGTTGAGCCCCTTACCCTAGGGGAATTCCTTCACCCAGATGACAAGCTTCGAGTAGCGCATGGATCTGCTACATGCCTCGGGCTCTGGCTCGGGCTCTTCTACAAACATGGCCTCGCGTGGAGGAGGCCGTGGTGGGGGCAATGGTGGCCGTGGCTGTGGTCACGGGGGTTTTAACGCTCCTGGTGGCCGTGGTCGTGGGCGCACGAGAGTCAGCCTGGGCATTTGGTTAACCGAAATCGATCGGTTCGGTTCCTCGGTTCTTTATGAAATTCGGTTAGCAGAAAATTGGGAACCAATCGGTTAGTAAGAAAACTAGGAACCGAGGAATTTCGGATTCAGTTAGATCAGTTTGGTTTCGATTAGAACCGAACTAACCGAGCCATCCATTACAACAGCGAAATAGAAGAAAAAAATCGTGAAAAAACACGGCAGCAGTCACCCCTTCTC